CCCTACTCCTTGAGCCACAGGCACCATCCTCTCCACCAATCCTTTACTGACTTGATCTTTGATTACACTCTGAGGACCAGGATCTCAGCTCTACCCCTGAGAAATTGAATTTGACACTTTGCTTCCTACTTACAGCCTTCATAAACAATTGTTCATATTTCCCACACCTGCTAAGTCCACATTTTGCCTAAATCAGGAGTATCCAACCCATGGCTTGTGGGCAGCATGCAGCCAAGGATGACTATGAATATAGCCCAACACAAAATTGTCAGCTTACTTAAAATATTATGAGACTTTTTGGTGAAAATCAATTGTGCAGTTCTTGAGCATGAACTTTGTAGATGACAACCTCATGTCACAATGTCTCATAATATAAATACACATATGCTCTTGCTGTTGTATGCCAGCATAGCTTCAGTTTTATGGCAGTGTGTGACTTCCAGTGTGTTATCTTCCATGTATAGACAGTCGAATTGACTCTATCAGATGCTACATGTGTTTATGGTGACTTGGCAAGGCAGCAATTATCAATAATATTGCAAACTACTATTGCAACATTAGGCCTTGAATGCTATTTAGAAGTCTAGTAAGCATTCTTAATTTGATTATTAAAGGTACTTCCACACCTCCATGATGTCTTACACATCCCCCACCACTTTTTACAATCAGCCCTCCTCCTCGTTCTGCATTGGCACAGATGATATTGAAGGGCTCACACCTTGATTTCTATTTTCATGTCAATTAATTTCCATAATAAAATGTAATTATAGTCCCTTATCTATTACTTTTTAATTGAAGCATGGCTTCTATAATAATTCATCAAAAAAAATAGAACCCAGGAAAAGAAAAATTATGAATGAAGGATAATTCAGTAAAAAGTGGACAGATGACCACTTTTTTGGAATGGCAAATAGTAAGGCACTCTGCTTAATTTGTCCTGTCTCCAAGGTCAGAGCAATGGTGTTTCATCTGTTCTCTTAATCTTATTAGCCACCCTCTACTGTGTATCTTGACTTTCTTCTTCTTGTCTTTGGTCTTAAGACACGATCAGTCTAACCTCGAGCTTGTTGGAGCCTCACTTTCCTCCACTCACCTGTCTTTGACTATCAAACATCCTTCTAAAGAAAACCCTCTATGTTTTATCTTACAAGAGTACAAGTGAATCTTTCTAAAAGTAGAATATAAATATCTTAACACAATAACTAAGAAAGTGACATGAAGGCTATGTTAACCAGTTTGATGAAAATATTACAAATTGTATATGAAAATACCACACTGTACCCCATGATTGCATTAATGTACACAGCTATGATTTAATAAAAAAATTAGAAATAAAATTTGTGCTTTATTTTGAAAAAAAAAATCTCTGACCTTATCTTTCCCCATCATCCTGATTGTGTTTTGGTCCTATTTCCACTTCTCTGATGAAATTTCATTTCCCATTTGCAATAAAGAGCGCTCATCTGGAAACAATGTTTTTTCCTCAGTATTTAGTTTCTTCAAATTTACATTGCAAAAAATAAAATTTATAATTACTTTTCTTTATTAGAACTTTCACTTTGCTTCTTTTCCATGATGAAAATCAGCAATATTCTCCAATAATTGGTATCACTGGTATCATGATCTTAGGAAGATTACTTAATTCCTCTGTGCTTCAACTTACTCACTGGTAAAATTAGGGTAATAAAAATTCCCTTCTTAATGAGTTGTTATGAAGACCAAATTCCATGTTATTAGCTACCATATGTCAAGATCTAATTATGAGCTTGGCACCCTGACACACACATACACACACCACACAAGCACATATTCATAAAGGATTATATATACAGTTAGCCTTTGAATACCATGGGTTTGAACTGTGCGGATCTTCTCATACGAGGCTTTTTTCCACCTCTACTACCCCTGCAACAGCAAGATTAACCTCTCTTCTTCCTCTTTAATCTACTCAATGTGAAGACAATGAGGATGAAACCTTTGTGATGATGCACTTCCACTTAATGAATTGTAACTATATCTTCTCTTCCATATGCTTGTCTTAATGTATTTTTCCTATAGCTTACTTTATTATAAAACAGTATTTTCCCAGAAGCAATATATGAATAGAGGTGTAATTGTCTAATCTGGGTTTAATAACTTCCATTTTAGTAAAATAAAGGAAATTTGAAATTTTTACTCATTTATAGCTAGGCCCCTTGGTGCTTACGTTATTTCTTATTGTATGAAGTTTAGAATTCTAAACAATCCTCATGTATAAGATAAACAAAAAATTTTTCTCACCTCAAATAATCAATTTCTTGGTCAGATAGGAAGTAGCAACCAGAACTGCAGCACCACCCAGGGTAACCAGAACTGCAACGCCACCCAGGGTGTGACTTTGTCTTTGAGATCTTTTAACAGCCAACATTGACTCTGGATGACCTCACAGGAAAGGTGGAGAAACCAATCCTGCCATATAAACATGACCCTTTCCTAGACCATGTCTGATGCAGCTGTGAGGACAATCTCAGAACAGCCTCTGTATCGCAGTGATTTCTACCATGAAGATTATTGGGGGGCTCCTTCTGCTCTATACAGTGATGCATTTCTGCAGAAGCTCAGGTGAGTGAAAAGTAAACAGTGTTCCATAGAGTTAAGCTTATTTTCCCAAATAATATCCCTGGGATGTCAGCATCTAGGAGAAATGTTTCATTATGTGAATTTAAAGTGTGCTGGTTTGTAATATAAATATCCCCTGCCTGGAGTTCCAACTGGAATTGGAGGCCTTTAGGTCTAATATTTTCTTTCTCAGGGATTCTTATTTGAATCCATGAAACAAAAGAAAAGAAGATCTAATTTCTCCATAAATCTTCCATTTTATAAGAACACTAAAAGTTGTTGATTTTATTAGACATTACTCCTCTGTGCAAGGATACAGAAAAACTTGGATGTCTCCCCAAATCAATCCAGGAGAATCACTTCTCCAAAGGTCAAGAGTCAACAATTAGGTTTTTATATGGTGAAAAGTTACATATTCAAAATTAATTTCTAACGCCTTAGAGACATTCCCATTCTTGTGCTATATATCAATTAGTATTATATCAAAGATGATGCTTCAGAGTCTTAGGATGGGTAATTGCAAACTTCTTATTGCTACTTGACTTTAAACCAGAAAAATTCCAATAAAAAGAGAAAATTTGGATAATTCTCTTACCTGAAACAAGGACTTAGTTAACTCTTTGGCCATTCAGCTTCCTCAGTAAACAGCTGGGATCTTGCAAAAAGATGGGCAGTGTGTACTGAGATTCCCTGCCAGAAGAAATGTGGAGTATTTAATTATAGGACAAAATTTACATTAATTGATGAAACTTCATTACTTTCATTGGTTTTATTTTTAACATTTCCATCTGTATTTCTCTTTCAGAAGCTGCCAATCTGCCTTTAACAACAGTGAGTATGTTGAATAACACTTTAATTTCAATTCCCATAGCCTGTCAATTAGTCAAGTTCTAAAAATAATTATATCTAGGATTAAGTATGCTTAAAGGGATCAGAGATGGAGACAAACTCAGATAAGAAATGGCTTCTGCTTTCCACAAGCTAGCTGAAAAAGATCACCTAAATATAAATAACCATATCCTAACTTTAAAAATATTCCAGGGTTAAAGGAGAAAGAGCTTCCATGTGAGAGATTGGTGATGTTTTCATAAAAGAGACAACATGTAGGAATCAAGGAGAGGTAACTTCATTAATTGCATAGCCTCTGGATTCAAAATGAGTTGCAACTCTACCACTTATCGGCATTTACCTTATATAAGTTATCTCTCTTCTTAAGTTTTAATAGAGGTAATTTTACATTGTAGAACCAACCCTATTCACTTGTCCTGAAGATTAAACAAAGAAAATTCAGGTAATATTTAAGGTTAATCCCTAGGACAGAAATATTCAGCAATTTTTAACTGAATGTGGTAATAAAGATAAAAGTGGTACCAGGAGTACTAATAGTTGTTATAATGGGAACATCAGTACTTAATAGAAGTAGACACAGCAGTATCAGAACATCTGAACTGTAATTTCCTACTCTTATTACCTGCCCAAAAAGGTCAATGAAACCCAGCTTGGGGTTGGGGAGAAAAGTAGAACATTCTCTTGTGTCTGGCACAGATGGACTGCAGCATTTATAAGAAGTACCCAGTGGCAGTCATCCCTTGCCCCATCACATACCTGCCGGTTTGTGGTTCTGACTACATCACCTATGGGAACGAATGCCTCTTGTGTACTGAGAGCTTGTGAGTACCTCATGGGAAGAAGAAGATATCTGGGGCAAGCATTCTCTTTCTAGGATCCTGTCTAAATCTCTGTAAGTTGGTGCTTATTCCCAACTAGTGATAACAGAAACCTGTCTATCATACAGTCAAACCAGGACTGGGCCACTTGCTCCACCCACTTGGATTGGTCCCAGCCTATCACAAAACCTCCAGTTCTGGTCTTTCAATTGTGGGACTCCAACAGGACCATGAGTTCTCAAGCTGCAGTCCCCAGAGCCCAGTGGTTTTGTACAGGAAAATCAGTAGTCACCAGATGGGTTAAAGAGACCATTTAGGGAGGTCTCCAACCCCCAATCAGCCTATGACTGTTTAAATAGTGGAGTTCCACGTAATATCTTGTTTGAAGAAAGGGTCCTGAAATCTATACCAAAAAATAATTGAAAATCACTAATCTACCTGACTATTTAACAGTCTTAATGCAGCTTGATTCTTGGACTGTGGCTAGAGGTTCCTTTTTTATTTTTTTATTTTGTGTTAAATCATAATACAGTTATGGGGTACAGTGTGCTGATTTGATATACAATATGGAATTCTTAAATCAGACTGATTAATATAACCATCATCTCACTTACTTATTTGTTGTGGTAAGACATTTATATTATACTCTTAGTTTTGAAATGTACCATTGCATTATGCATAATAGGTAAGGTCCCACCAAATACTCTCTCTCCTCTAGCCCTCCCCCTTCCTTCTCCTTCCTGCCCCTCCTTCTTCCTGAACTATAGTTGTGTTTTATCATTCACATGGATGTGTGGGTGATGATATGTTGGTTTCATAATAGTATTGAGCACATTGGATACTTTTTTCCCATTATTTACTAAAAAGAATGTGTTTCAGTTCCATCCAGGTAAACATAAAAGCTGTAAAGTCTCCATCCTTTTTATGGCTGCATTGTATTCCATGGTATACATATACCACAATCTGTTAATCCATTCATGGTTTGATGGGCATTTGGGCTGCTTCCATGACTTGGCCATTATGAATTGGGTTGCAGTAAACATTCTGGTGCAAATGTGTTTTCTATAAAATGATTTTTGATCATCTGGGTATATACCTAATAGAGGAATTATAGGATCAAATAGTAGGTCTACTTTTAGTTCCTTGAGAATTCTCCAAACTTCTTTCCAAAAAGGCCATATTAGTTTGCAATCCTACCAGCAGTGAAGAAGTATAGAGGTTCTTTATCTTCAATTTCCTAGAAACCCTAAGTATCTGTAGCTACAATGGGGGATAGAGCTACCAAAATGATTGTTTTTCATCTAAAATAAGGGATATAAGCTGGCAGTACTTAGACCAGAATCTCATAGACATGTTTTATTTAGGGATTTTGTTTGGTTCAGACAGCATTTTTGAAGAAATGTAACTAGTCAGATGTCACTTCTTGGGTGCAAGACATGCACGTTATACTTACTACCTCACACAGAGTATACTGTGATCATTGTTAACTCTCTTTCAGGCTACTGGATTTTGGCCACTTGACTTAGATGTCATATTGTTCATCTTCGTGGTTTCCTTAACAAATCAGAACAGTGTTTTTCAATCCTTCTTATCTCACGGCACACTTGAACCTATGGTTAAACTTCATGGCACACTTAAATTATGTTGATCAAAAAAAAAGAGTAAAAAGAATACATTTACTGTGCATTGAACTTCTTTCTAAAATAATTTAATTGGGGCGGTGCCTGTGGCTCAGTGTGTAGGGCGTCAGCTCTAGATACCAAGAGTGGTAGGCTCAAACCCAGCCCTGGCCAGCTAAAACAGCAGTGACAACTGCAACAAAAATAGCTGGGCATTGTGGTGGGTACCTATAGTCCCAGCTACTCGGGAGGCTGAGGCAAGAGAATCTCCTAAGTCCAAGAGTTATAAGCTGCTGTGCACTGTGACGCCATGGCACACTACCAAGGGCAACAAAGTGAGACTCTGTCTCAAAAAAAAAAAAATTTAATTGATGATTTTTTTAAATTTCTGCAGCATACATAAGATCCTCTCACAGCATACCAGTGTGCTGTGACACACCAGTTGAAAATCACTAATTAAAATATTGAGTTAGGACGTTTACATACTTACTCTTACTGGGAAAGTTTTGTTTTACAGAAAGAAAGGATATCTAACATGGGCATACACTGGGTGAGGAAAGTAGATGCATTGAAGGGATGCTAAAATCCCCACTCACTAACATAGGACCCAGCTTCATCACAGGCCTTGCTAACACTGAGAAGCTGCGGGGCAGTTCCTTCAACTTCAGAGTCCTCCCTCTTGGGTGTTTCAAGATGCTGGTGATCAGTGGGCTCTGGGATTAGAGGAGGCAGCAGAGATGGAGTGGAGTTATCACCAGACTAGATAAACTCTGCTCCTGCCTCTGTCAGAAGCAGTTTGTGGCAAGGATATTCCTTTTTTGGACTCAATTTTCTCCTTTGTAAAATAAGGGTCTGCCTCAGGAACTACTGCCTTCTGTAGTTCCTTTCAGCTCTAATATGATATGCCCTTTCTTCAGCATTAACAAATCTTGTTAACTGTGTCTTCCCTTAGGAGAAGTAATGGAAAAGTTCAGTTTCTTCATGAAGGAAATTGCTAAATTCTCCATGAATGTGAGTGGACAGCAATGATAATCTCAACATCATCTTCACCACCAGGCTCTGACTAACTTTCCTTCACCTTCACTGATGTTCTAGGTGGGAGCAGAGCCAGATTCAGAGTCATCTTTATTAAATAAAGAAATTGGCTATGCTTCCCCTACACACTCATGCACCCCTGACAAATTGACTTCTTTTTATATCTCAAATAAAAGAATCTCCCCAGAAAATTTACTTTTACTTCTGTTTGTGCTTTTTCTTTTTTAGATCAGGATATCATATCTCAATTATAGAAGAAAATTGAGGAACATACTAACCCCGTTGTTCAGGAGAAACTTTTATACAAAGGATCTCAGCTTTCAAGAAGCACATGCACCCCCACCCCCAACACATAAAACACACACAAACACCAATGACACCTTTCTTGTGGAATCTTTATCCTCTATGAATGTACTGTTTCTCTCTCTCTCTCTCTCTCTCTCTCTCTCTCTCAGAGTCTCACTTTGTCACCCTCAGTAGAGTGTTGTGGTGTCATAGGTCACAGCAACCTCAAACTGTTGGACTCAAACGATCTTCTTACCTCAGCCTCCCAAGTAGCTGGGACTATAGGCCCCCACCACAATGCCTGACTATTTTTTGAGATGGAATCTCACTCTTGTTCAACTAGTCTCAAATTCCTGAGCTCAAGCAATCTACCCACCTCAGCCTTCCAGAGTTGTTTCTCTATCTTTGTCTCTTTACCAAAGATTCTTAAAAGGGAACCTTTCTGATTCTAACAAGTCATTTCTAGAGGGAAACTTTTCCTGCTGATTTCTTTCCAGAAAGATACCATACTTTCTCACAGGCTAGCTGTACTAGAATACTGATAGAAGGTTTGGCAAATTCCTACCCAAAGGGAACAATGCACAGGTATATGGCACACTTCCATATAACTACACCTCAGACTTTACCTTACAAATGCAAATAATGCAGCCTAATCATGTAAACCCTCATATTAATCTGAAGGAAAAAAAAAAA